ACAGAAACTGTGAAATAATAAACGTTTACTCTTTTAATCAAAAAAGAAAAAAAAAGGTAAGCATCCCACCAAAACAAGAAATATATGTGCAGATACACAAAGGGTATCTTTATTATTCATGTATGTAAATGAATATATAATATATGTACATGCACCTATGTAACATGATGCACATATATTCATTTACATACATGAGTAATACAGTAGGTAGGAGTCCTGGTATGGCCCTGTGGGTTAAGCTCACCAGCCACTCCTCGGAAACACTATACAAGGTCGCTATCAGTTGGAACAGATTCGATGGCACTTAATGACAACAACAAATAAAGTATAAGGGGGCACAGTTACGGACACTTCTTAGACATAACCAAACACCTTGTGGGACTGGATTTCTGACTTTGAAGGATTAAGATCATAGTTTCGTGGGTCATCTCAGTCAACATAACTATAAAGTTATGTTCTACAGCTTAGTTTGTTTGGTGAGTAGTGTTTGGGGTCTTAAGAGCTTGCAAGCAGTCATTCTAAGGTACAAACAACTATTGTACTCTACGTGTCTGAAGCAAAAGAGAAAGAAGGACAAATAAGTCTACACAAATCCTGGCCTCATCTACCCTGAGAACAGAAAAAAATGATGCCTGGCTACCACTGCCCACCAGTCTAATCAGGACCACAAGAGATGGACCCTGACACAACAGGAGACAGATATGGAACAGAACCAACTTCAGATTCATAAGAAAACAAAACAAAACGCAAGGACTGCTGGACTGGCTGGAGTCCTGGTGTGGCACTGTGGGCTAATGCGTCAGACAGTAAAGTCACTTGAACTGAAGAGTTGGTGGTTCAAGCTCACTCAGCTGCTCATTGGAAACCCGATACAGGGTCGCTATGGGTAGGAATCAACTTGATGGCACTTAACAACAACAACTGGAGTGGTTGAAACAGGAAGACTCCCCTAGACTCCCCCTGAGACACTGCCCTGACATAAGTTTCAAACCTTGAACAAAAATTAACCTGAGTTCATCTTCTAGCTACATAACAAATTTATAATATCACCTGTAAATACTGTACTTCTTAAAAAACAAAACAAAAAAAAACACACACATATATGAAACCAAACAATGAACAATTACTTAAAAACAAAAATGAGAATCTAAGGGGACAGGGACACTAAATTACTGGAAATGGAGCAACCAGAATAGAAGTAATGCAAATGTCCACACTTGTGTAGAAATTGTTGCATGTGAACCTAAACTGCTGAGCAAACCTTCATTGACAACACAATTCTGTACAGTGAACTACTTCCTGTGTCTCTTTTAGCCATAGTCTTTGTAACTGCCACCAAAAGACTTTCCTGCTGGATTTGGGTAAGAGCATGTGGGGAAAGATGCTGATAGGCTTATATGATTCGGTATTGAGTAGTTAACAGTTAATTATGGCTGTAAAAACTTGGAACTCTAATGTGTGTATGCTGTTATTTTTAAGTACTGTTGACTCGGTTCCGACCTATAGTGACCCTGTATAGGATTTCTGAGGAGCAGCTGGTGAGTTTGAATCACCAACCTTGGGGTTCAAACCAAGTTTGCAGTCCAGTGCATTAACCCACAGCACCGTATTGGGACTCTGTAACGTGTATAAAATGAGCCATCTCAGAAGCAGGTGGAGGGAATCTTATCACCATCAAAGAAGAGGCAGGAGTGGAACAAGTCCTTTGGACCTCCTCAACCCAGGGACAGAAATCTGTGACACTAGAGGAGTGCCAGACGAACAGAAGCAGAACCAAGAGCCAGAGCATGAGCCGGAGCAGTGACCCTCCTAGCCCTTGGAGCAAGAAAGGTGAAGAACTTTGGGCAGGAGGCTCACTTACAGAGTGGAGTGCCTCCAGGTACTTAACTGGGGGGGACCCATGGAACTACAGCCAGTCACCTTTTTGGCTGAGGCTTATGGTGGAGTGGTGTGTCCTGTGAGCATTTTTATCAGTAGCCCTGAAAGGGCTCTGCCTGGGCTGACAGGCTGCCGTGACTGAAACAGCTGTTGCCCTGAGCATTTTCTGGTCCATGACTGTGAGTGTGGTGTCTGAGTCCTGTGTGGATTACCAAGTGCAGCTGAGTAGAGTGTTCATTCTGCATACACATGGTTATTGTTTTAAATGCGTGCCCCCTCCCTCAGAAGCAAACACTGTATATTTCTTTTTTACCTTTAAGAAAATATTCTGTGCATACATGAGCATATTACTTAGACTCTCTCCCCGGTCTTTGTTATTAGCTGCAGTTGAGCCAGTCACTGACTCGTGGCGACCTCATACCTAACATAGTGAAATGCTGCCCAACCATTCCGGTGGCCTACTGTGGATCAGACATTTATGACCCAGAGAGTTTTCCTTGGCCAGTTTTCTCAGTTTGCCTTCATCTACAGCACTGCTGAAACCTGTTCAGCAACACAGCAACAAGCAAGTCTCCATTAACAGACAAGTGGTGGTTGCTCCTGAGATGCACGGGTCAAAAATTGAACCCAGGTCTCCTGCATGGAGGGAACGCGTTCCCCCTGAGCCACCACTGCCCCTCCTTCCACTTTTCACTTCACTCTACTTCGCCGTGTCTCTTAGACTTCATTTCATACAGATGTAGCTTACTTTTTTCTAATATCTACATAGTGTTCCTTCATGTGGATGTACAATTTATTAATTAGTCTGCGAAGGATGACGTTTTTGGTCATTCCAGGCTTATGCTATTCTAAACAATGCAGCAGTAACATCTGAGAACATGTGTCATGCCCATGGGATGTGTGTGAATTTCTAGAGGTTGTTGTTAGGTTGAGGGCATTGCTCTCTACCCTTGGCTATACTGTAGATGATAAATTATATCACTGTTGTTCTAAATACATTGCCAGACTGCAAATTTAACTTACAAAGTGAGTTTGAGAACTTTTCTTTAATTAGTAAATAACTCTTTTTATATTAAAGAAATTAGCCCTTGGGCTGTTTAAATTACAATTTTTTCCTCCCTCCGGTAGTCATTTTACCACATAGTCAAACTTTTTCACATGGTCAAACTTCCCAGTTTTTCTCTTTTATGACTGTTATGACTTTGTGACACCCCAAAATGTTGTGCATCCTAACCCCTATATCTATGGATACAATCCCATTTGGGAATACAATTTCTTTGCTGTGTTAACAAGGCTGCATCAGTGTAGATGGCTGTGTGCTCCTAGTATGGTATGCAGTCTTAGGAAGCCTAGAAAGACTTGCTGTGAGTTAGAATTGACTGGGCAGTAGTGGCTTTGGTGTTTGAGTGGGTAAGAGGCAGTCAACGATTTTTATTTTATTAACAGTTTGGTTTTGTAGTCTGAATGGATATCAAATTTTACTAAATGGCATTCTGGGATTTCTAGACATGATCACGTGATTTCCCCCTTTGACCTTTTAATATGGTAAATAACAAATATAGGTAAGTATTTTTGCACTGCACTGTTGAGAATGGTAAAGATAAACACTTTGATAGGGTGTAGGGTAACAATCATTCTTGTGGAAACATAAACTTCTGTAATTCCAGTGGCAGAAACTAGGCAAAATTTACCATAATTTTAAATGTCTTATTCATTGCGACACTGTTCATAATAGCAAAAGTTTGTGGAAAAATGGAATTAAGAGATAATAGAAAAGTTCCACAAACTTTCTGAAACCCCCTTGTATTATACAGCTATACAAAAAGAATATAAAGTGATAGAGAATGCTCTCTAAGATAATACTGCTAAGTAAAAAACACAAGCTATTGATAAGTGTATTTATTATGTACTGTCTGTGTAAAAAAAAGGGGGGGGGATACACTTGGTTGTTATTTATATAAAGATACTCTGGAAGGATATATAATAAATGATGTACTGCTATTTACAAGCTAGTTTGTGTGTGTGTGCGTATGTCTGTGTAGCTGAGAGCCAGGTAAAAGGAAGATTAAATATGACCTGTTTATATTTTTTATATTTAAAACTGCTAGTCTATTACCTATATGAAAAAAACTTAAAACCTTTGGAAAAGTACATAACCAATAGCCCCGAAATTTCACTCTGAAAATGTATGCTGTAGACTATGTTGCACGTGTAAGCAAAGATGTACAATACAAGGAGAGTCACTGAAGGACCAAAAACAGCCTCCATGGAATTGCAAGTACTTTAATACATTAGGCCAAGTGGGGACCTTAAAAGGAAATGGTAACATTCTATTTCTTAAACTGGGTGGTGGGTATATGAATGTCCCCATTTTAGCATAGATCTTTTATATCTTGTTTAATAAAAACAATTCTAAAATTGTAAGCAAGTACTCAATGTAAAATGCAGCTGTGCCAAAGAATCTAGTCAATACCGATGTGCTTATGTGTAATGATCTTTAAGACACATTGGTACACACAGGAGTCAAGGTATAAACTAGAGACATGAGGGACTTCAATATGTTCACAAAACATTTCCATTATCTTTCAATTTCATTTTCCCAAGAACTTTTGAAGTCCCCTCGCATATACTTATTTTTGTTAAAAACAAACAACAAAAGACAACAAAGAAATGAAAATGTACGAGTATATGCATGGAAATTTCTAGAAGGACTCAAGAAGCTGGTAATACAGACAGGTCTAGAGAGGGAAAATAGAAGTCTGGGGTAGAAATGAGACTTTTCATTGTGTACCTTTTCAATCAATTTGAATGATTTTCTACATATAAGAAAGGGCTTTATAAAGTTTATGGGAAAATTCCTTTAATTCTATTTCCTGTGAATGTTTTGAAACTCCCTTGTATATATTCCTTTTAAATAAAAAAAATTTTTTAAAGTACACAGGATCCTGGGGCACTGAAGACAGACTATATTATCAAAATGACTGATCTCATGTCTTCAGGGCGGCCACAGAGAAAGGGATAAGCTTGTTTCCTTGAACTCACAGATAAGGCACATCTGTTCTTTCCCTGGGTGAAAAAGACATGCCCACCCTATGACATAGGGCTGTAGCCAGTGCACTCACTTGGGCTCATGAGGAGGTCCAGACTGGTCAACCAACTTGAACTCAGCAGCAAAGCCGTGGGAGCGGGCGTACTCTAACAGGCCGCCCACAGGGTTGGTGTTCAGGTATCTGACGAGCTCGCCAATCCTCCTGACCTTGTTGGGCATTAGAGATTCCAAGTTGTCAAAAGAGTCTGTGTTCGTACTTCCAGGCTGAAGGAGAATTAACCAAACAAAGAGGAACCATAAATACTCAAGGAAACTCTGAGGGGATTCAACCTTGGCATTCATGACAAAACCTAAGCCTCTCAGTTGCTAAAAACAACCTGCATCTTCTGAGTAGGAAAATCACCCCACCTGGTCATCAGAAGATGTCGAATTGGTTGCCTCTCCATGAAGGGCCTTCATGGCTTCTTCTGCTGCCATCTGCTTTGCCACTTTCTTGCTGGGGGCACTTGCAGTGGGGAAAGTATGTGGTCCCATGGCAACACAGTACTGAAACCTAACAGGAGGTGAAGAGCAATGGTTTGATAAGAGGTTAATACAGCCTTAGTCAGCATGTCCCGCTTCCCTGCTTGTCATTTCCTTGCACACCTCACCTCCGTGCCCTGCTTCATGAACTCACTTCTGTGAGTTGAATGGCACCCTCCACCCACCTCTAGCCCAGCCCCCATCTTCTTAGCCGGGCTAACCCCAATTCAGCATGTAAGTATCAGCCTCGCTTCACCCCCTCCAGAACCCTTTCTTCCCTCAAACATGTAAGTCTGCAGAGCCTCACAGCAGAGTTGCTCAGGTACGCCCAGGTCTTTGTACTCTCCACACAATATGTCTCCCTCTAGTCCCTGATTCACCCTTTAAATTCCCAGTTCCAGATTCTCTGCCTCACGGGGCCCTGCTTTTCCCAAATTGAAAACAGCAAAGTAATCTGCCATCTCTGAGGAAGCAGGGACGAAAGTGTGCTTCTCTGTCTCTCTCTTTTGAGAAAACCACAACAGAGAAAGATGAAACAGGAGACATACTTGGGATCATGGGCAGGGCCCTCTCTGGACAGGAGGCGGAATTCACAGGAACTTCCCAATTTGTGCACGCACTCAAGCAATGTAGTGACAGGGTTTTTCCCAGAAAAAAAGGATGTTGCTGAAGGGGTGGTAAGCTGGGACTCAGCAGTCTGGAGAAAATGAGAAACCAAAAAACAAAAATAAACCCTTAGAAAACATGGGTTAGTCCACCACAGAGAGGACTGTTGTTGTCAAATGCTGTAGAGTCAGTTCTGACTTACAGCGACCCTGCGTAGGGTTTCAGAGGAGCAACTGGTGGGTTTGAACAGTCAACCTTATGGTTAACAGTGCAGTGCTTATCCTTCAGTGCCATACCAGAGCTCTAGCGAAGACAACATGATGAGAGAATGCTTTTGGCCAACTAAACGATAAGAGTAGACTTTCCAAAGGAAGACGGGCTGCTGAGTATTTTCTAATTGCAGGAAACGTTATCTAGATTTTCCCTATCTCACTTCTTATCTAATAAAGAAGACTGAGCTTTAAGGTTCCTTTTAACTCTGACCTTCTTGAATTGCAGCTAGGTTGGGGATGGGTGTAGGAAGGGAAGGCTGGGTATGAGAGGAGTAAAGGTGGGCTGGTGAGGTGGGCTAAAGAGAAGATAAGAAGCTGACCCCAGTTAAACAATCCTGATTATTTCAGTCATTGAAAATGAACTGATAACCTCCCAGAGGGCAGGATACCTACCTTCTCGGATCCTTTCTCAGGGGAATAGTAGTAAGATTCCTCTGACTTCCCACTGTCCTTGGCTTTAGCTTCCTCAAGCAGTATGGCCATGGCCTTCATAGCTGCATCCTGTTTGGCCACTTTCTTGCTGCCAGCTTCAGCTGGGGGGAACTCTCTGCCACTGATAACAACCTGGAATTTAAATCTTGATGGAAGGTGATTAGATGTGTGCAAACTAGTCTGGGCCAACCCTCTCTCCTCTTCTCCAAAGACAGGCCCACCCTAGACTTTTCCTTTGTTATGCTAAGGGACTTCTGATTAGCTGAGGAGATGAAGGATAGGGTCAAGGAACTCCTGTCTCTTTGGAGGCTCAGCATGTCTCTTCTTTTGGGAAAAAAAGCAAGTGACTCTCTCCCTGTAGTTCACTGTTGTTAAGAGTTGTTGAGTTGGTTCCCACTCATATCGATCCTGTATAGGGTTTCCTAGGGTGTCTGGTAGGTTTGAACCACCGATCATACAGTTAGCAGCCCAATGTTTATCCTACAGTGCCAACAGGACTCCATTAGAACAAACATATTTGAGGTGATAAGGCAGCTCAGGGAACCCAGGAACTCTTAGCAAGAAATAAAGTTTGCATATAAAAAATACAAAAAATACTAGCAACCAAAAGGCCTTCATCTTTACGCAATTGTAGTCACCTCAGGAGAAGTGCCTACAGCCAGTCTCACATTCCCCAGATACCTACAGGGCTCAGATACTCAGATACTGCTTATCAGGGATCTGTTTTTGTCCCCAATCTACCCTCAGATATAGAACACTATCATTGTTTGTTTTGGGTTATTCCATAGCGCTCTCTGTCCCATGCTAGAGATGAAAGAAATTTTCTCATATTATTTAGAAAACGTCTCTTGATTTGATTCAAGCTTTCAAATTTGTTCAACTCCTAGCTCAATCTGGGATTTCATTAAGAAAAGTAGGGCAAACCCTTTATTTTCTACGTCTTCTGAAAGACTTTAGCATGGCACCAATGTTTCTTACAGCTGGGATCCATTAGCCACAAACTCCAATGCTTTCCTCCAGTTCTGAGGAGGGAGATGGAGGTCAAGAAAAGGAATGATGGCCCACCAGTTTCTCTGGCTCAATCAGAAACAAGTCCGTTGGGCCCCGGTCAACTTTTGGACAGATACACCACCTCGCCAACAGCTCTATGGCAACACCATCTCATGTTACAAAGATGATCAAGATAAGGAATCCTTACCTTAGAAATCCTTACCCCTAAAACCAAACCTGCGAACCTTAAGGTCAGCGGTTTGAAACTACCAGCCGCTCCGCAGGAGACAGATGAGGCTTTCTACTCCCGTAAAGATTTACACCCTTGGAAACCCTGTACAGGGTCGCTATGGGTCGGAACCGACTCGACAGTACTTAACAACAAAAACAAAAACCAAGCCCATGGCCATCAAGTTGACTCTGACCCTGTAAAGGTTTCCAAGGTTGTCAATCTTTACAGAAACCTCATCTTTCTTCTGGGGAGCACCCGATGGGCAAGAACTGAAGATCTTGAAGCTAGCAGTCCAGTACTAATCTTGAAGCACCACTAAGGCTCCTAAAACAAGCCTTCGTTGTTGTTGTTAAGTGCTGTCAAGTCAGTTCTGACTCATAGCAACCCAGTATAGGGTTTCTGAGGAGCAGCTGGTGGGCTTGAACTGCCGACCTTGTGGTTCAAACTGACTGTGCATATCCTACAGCACCACCAGGGAGCCTAAAACCAGCCTGTTATTGCTGCTGTTAAGTCGAGTCTGACCCATAGCGACTCTATATAGGGTTTCTGAGGAGCAGCTGGTGAGCTTGAACCACTGACCTTGTAGTTCAAACAGACTTTGCAGTCCAGCACACTAACCCACAGCACCACACCAGGACTCCCAAACCAGCGCAGGGTATTATAAGAGGTTGGAAGGATTCTCTCCTGTCCTCCTGGCTCTCTCTTCAGCAGCTACTTGCAGTCACACAGCTTCTGTGCTTTCAGCTCTCTCTGCTATTCTACTCAGGACCTCCCTTTTGGGCACACCTGTCTTCCTCAATCTGTCCAACCAGCCTGTAAAGCCCTGTGGTGCAGTTGTCTGAGAGAGGTGATCTGATTCCCCAGCTCAAGAGTGGCAGTAAATGCCGCCCGCCCATCTGCGCAGAGGAGGTGTATAAAATTAGAACCGTCACCTGCAACAGGCATGCAGCTGTGCTCGCTTTACCCGACTGATCTTTCCTACAGGAGCTGAGGTGGGGTGGGGAGGCTGTGGACCTGCTGCTGCCTAGCAGCACAACCCATCCTCATTCCTCATGCACAGCCTGCCCCAATCACCTGCTCCTGAACCTCTGGAGAATGTACTTACCTTGGGGATTGGGGAAGAATTGCTCATAGGAAAGGAGAAGTAAGGAATCAGTCTTCACTACCTTTGACCTTAGGAAGCAGGTATGACATTGAGGCCAGAAAGCTAGTAATTTTGAAAGAAGCTCCACTTTAGCCATTAGGGCCAACCTCCCTCTTGGTTCAGCCAAGATTTCAGGTGGTCTGAGGTCTACAGCCTGGGCTCAATATTTGGAGAAAAGGTCAACCAAGGGTGATTTAGCCAAAAGGCAGAAAGGAAGAGGGAAAAAAATAGCACAGCTCACCAGTCAGCTGAAACTGTGTCAGGAGCAAGGGCACCAGACCCCAACCCTAGGGACAATTCCTGGGTGGTCTCTTACCGAGGTTCATGGGGTGGTCCACTCTGTTCTAGCAGGTTGAACTCACAGGTCTGACTAGCGAACTGAGCATATTCTAACAGCCCACTGATGGGGTTCTTCAGCTGGCACTCAGTCAGTTTCTTGTAGGGTGAACACCGTGGTAAGCCATGACTGTAGAAGGAGGGCATCTCCATGATGGCTCGAAACTCACCTGGTGCTGCACGGATACTATTCAAGTCATCTGGGATGTCATCTGTGGCCCACTGGCCATTTTCAATGTCAACATACCCTGTTTTTGAGGGGCCATTGTCATGAGCAGGTGGTTTCAGTCTGATTGGTTCCGGTGTGGCCTCTTGCTGATTTTCTAACTTTAGGACAGGTTCCTGCCCATTTGTCACTTTTCCTGTGGTGATCGTGTTGTTTGAGGCACATGAAGCAGGTAAGTTACAGGTGGGGAGCTCTACATTTCTTTTGGTCTCAGGGGTAGCAGCAGGAGTGGGTTCAGGAAAGCTATTCACATTCTTCTTGATTTGCATTCTTTCCCGCTTCTTATCAGTCAAAAACCATATGGGAGGGGTTGCCCAATGCCTGTACACATCCCCCTGCCTTTCTAAGTCAAGCAGTATGGCAGTTACATCCCGAGCCTTGGTGAGGCCGATATTTTTTGCCAGATTAAGGGCAGAGGAGTTGAACACAGTAAATAGGTGGTCGCAGATTTTCTCCTTGATCTCAGCCATGCTAAAAAGATCAATAAGATATTCCAAGTTATATATGGAGTTTCTACCTTCTGCTTCTAAGTCAGATGTGGAGTTACAGTCTTCTGTTTCCAAGCCAGATGTGGGGTTTCTGTAATCTGTTTCCAAGCCAGATGTGGGGTTTCTGTAATCTGTTTCCAAGCCAAATGTGGGGTTTCTAGCTTCAGTTTCTAAGCCAGATGTGGGGTTTCTGTCTTTAGCTTCCAAGCCAGATGTGGGGTTTCTGTTTTCCGCTTCCAAGCAAGATATGGGGTTTCTGTCTTCTGCTTCTGAGTCAGATGTGGACTTACTATCTTCTGTTTCTAAGCCAGATGTGGGGTTTCTAGTTTCAGTTTCTAAGACCAATATGGGGTTTCTGTCTTCTGCTTTTAAGTCAGATGTGAGGTTTCTGTCTTCCACTTCCAAGCCAGATATGGGAATTCTGTCTTCTAAGCCAGATGTGTGATATCTGTCTTCCACTTCTAAGTCAAATGTGGGGTTTCTAGCTTCAGTTTTCCAATGGGAGTATGAATTTGGAGCTGCCTGGCTATGTTTGTTCAGTCTCACGACTTTGCTCTGCTGGTTCTGCGACTGAAGTGAGACTGGTACCCTCCACAAAGGGGGTGTATGTGCCCCCTCTTTATGTAGCTTACCTTTCCTTGCCAGCGAGTATAAAGCTTGATTGATTTCCTTCTTTGGGGTCCTAAGTGTTTTTGCTAGATTATTCGCTGTGATCCCCTTCCCTTCCCCAAGTCCCTCCAAGAACTTTAAGATCGTTTGTTCCTGATTCTGGCTAATTCTCAGTTTCTGGAAATATATGGCAAGACTATCAACATCTCTCCCTGGCTGATTCCATGGTGAAGGATGCGGGAACCTTCTCTGGAGCCCCTGACTTCTAGGCGAAAAGCCCCTGTGGATATTCCAGTTCTCTAGTTGCCTGTGTCTGACAGGTGGTCTTGGAAGCCTTGGCTGGAGTCCAGGGTAGAACAGTGGTAATGATGGCGTCTGCGTTTCAACCAGGGGCACTTCTAAGAGCCGCCCCTTAAGAAACTCTATTTGCCGGTGTTGGATACTGTTTGGATAAGATCCTGGGCCTGGCTGCTGGTGTCTGAGCTTGCTATGTTCATAGTCTGGAACTGGAGGTGGCCGGTATCTATTGAAGGAGCCCCCCTGCAGAACAAGAAGTGGAAAAGAAAGGGAATTAGGCCTACAATAGTGAGCCTCTCCCTTCCCTGGCTGGAGCATGAATGACAAGCTAGAGCACTTACCCACATCCATACTGCCTGGCGTGGGGGGACTGCCAAAGGGAAAACAGCTAGTGGAGTCGGGGACAAGGGCGGGAAAAATATAAATGGAACATAGGTACTCATGTGAAAAAGCCTCCCCCAACAAAGAGAATCCAGCAGGACACAGGGGTTCTGATACCTCAGCACAGCCTCTCCCGCCACTTAAACTTATCCCTTCGACAAAATTTTAGGGAGGTGAGAATGAGCCTTTACACTCATCAAACATTTACCCCTATAAGGCCAGAAAAACAAACAAATAAATGGTATTTTATTGAAATGAACCAACAAAACCAGGACAGCCTGGCTACCCCACGGACATTAAGGGATCACAGAATGGACAAACTGCCCCCTCCCTTTGTGAGTCAGACTCACAGCACACAATCCCCTTGTCTCTAAGATCTATCACCTGGATGACTATGACAAAAAAGAAAACATGGATTTGACTTGAAGAAATCAAACCCCAGCCTCCAAAGTTGGGACAGAGGAAGAATCTCCACATGGGGAGGGATGAAGGCATGTCCCAGATCCCTCGGCTCACCACTGCCATCCCTTGAGGAGCAGTATTTGGTTTTAGTGGAGCTGGGTGGTGGTGGTGGTGGTGGTGTTCCTTATAAAAAAGGCACTTGTCCTCACTATTCAATTTGATGTTCAAGTTTGAGGGGAAACACCTGGTACTTTTACAAACTCAAACAATCTAGGCTTGCATGGATGTGTGCAGTTGGGAAGGTCCACTCCTGGCCTCCTCAGCTTCAACAAATTGCTCTTTTTTCACTACATGCTCTTCCAAGTTACCCTGTATTCTCACAGGCTGCCTCACATTGACTGAATCATTGGACACGTGTGACTCTTCTCCTTCCCCCCACATAGAAATAAATATGGGTGCTCACCCTCTCTTAGGTGCCATTCATGGAGGGTGGCAGAGGTGGGGTAGGGGATTCAATCAACACCTTGCTTCCTTTCCTCTGTGGCTTTCAGATTTGGGAGATGGTAATATCTAGATGGGTAACAACATTTCCTCATGTTTATCTTGGTGTGGTGCTGTAGGATAACCACTTGACTGCTAATAACAAGGTTGGTGGTTCAAACACACCAGCTGCTCCAAGAAAACCCAGTACAGGGTTGCAATGGGTCAGAACCAACTCAATGGCACTTAACAACAAACATGCCCCCTCAAGGATTCCTGGTGGCATAGTAGGCTAAGCATGGGACTGCTAACTGCAAAGCTGTAGCTTGAAGCCACCAGTCACTCCTTGTAAAGGTTTAGTCTTGGAAATCCTAAGGACTTCTCCTCTGTCCTATATGGTTGCTCTGAGCAACAGCAATAAGTTTGCTTTTGGTTTGTCATCTGGTTCTCCTGAAACCTACAGGGACCAGCAGGCAACTGTATCCCTAACTTCAAAGGCTTCAGCATCACTCCCCAACCTTCCCTGCCCCTACCACCTGTGGTAACTAGGGATTTTCACAGCTATTCCAACTATGTTGTTGTTGTTAAGTGCTGTCCAGAAGGCTTTGATTCACAGCGACACAGTATAGAGTTTCCAAGGAGCTGCTGGTGAGCTTGAATTGCAAACCTTATGGTTAACAGTCTAGTGTTTATCCAACAATACCACACCAGAACTCCAATATATTGCTGTTGTTAAGTGCCATCGAGCCAGTTCTAACTCATAGTGACCCTGTATAGGGTTTCTGAGGAGCAGCTGGTGGGTTTGAACTGCCGACCTTGGTTTGAACCTCAGTGCTGATCCTATAGTGCCACACCAGGAGCCCAGAACTCTAATACTGTTGTTGTTGTTAAGTGCTGTTGAGTCTATTCCAACCCACAGCAAGCCTTTATAGGGTCTCTAATATAGGGTTCCTTAAACTCAAATGCTGGAGTCATGCATGGTGTTGGCACTGTGAGTTAATGCGCCAGACTGCAAAGCCGTTTGAACTGCAAGATTGGCGGTTCAAGCTCACCAGTTGCTCCTTGGAAACCCTATACAGGGCTGCTATGAGTTGCTATGGGTCAGAAATGACTCGATGGCACTTAACAACAACAAATTCAATGCCAATGCCCTTTAGCCACACACTTGGCTGGTGAAGCTACTCCTTCAGTCTCAATACTACCCTAACCTAGGCCATTACTAAGGAGCTCTGGTAGTGTAGTGGTTACGAATTGGGCTGCTAATCTCAAGGTCAGCAGTTTGAAACTACCAGCTGTTCTGCAGGGAGAAGAATGAAGCTTTCTGCTCCCATAAAGATTTACAGCCTCGGAAACCCTATACAGGGTCACTATGAGTCGAAACCGATTCCATAGCACATAACCACCACCACCACCAGGCCATTACTGGAGTCCTGGTGTGGCGCAGTGGGTTAATATGGAAGCCTGCAAAGTCATTTGAACTGCAAGGTTGATGGTACAAGCTCACCGGCTGCTCCTCAGAAACCCTATACAGGGTCACTATTGGTTGTACTCAACGGCACTTAACAACAACAGGCCATTACTGGGAGTCCTGGTGGTGCAATGATTAAATGCTCAGGTGCTAACCAAAAGGTTGACAGTTCAAATTCACTCAGCAGATCGCTAGAAAGATCTAGTAATCTGCTCTTGGATAATCACTGGATGCTAACTGCGAGGCCAGTTATTCAAGCCACTCCTGAGAAACCTTGGCTGTTTGATAAAACGCTAAGAAACAAGTGGGAGGCTGGGTTTAGCCAGTGGGCTATTATTGGCAGACTCCTACCCTTTTCTGATTGCAACTTCCCTGTTTCGACTTCTTCTCCTTACTCTTGTAGAACCTGCTCTTCACATGACCCCACTGTAGCTGCTGGCCAGCCACTCCTAATTTCCCACTCTAGCTTTATGCATCTTCTCACCCAGTCTAGATTTCATGGTCAGCTTCCTTCTTCCACCCAAGGCCCACCATCTTCGTTTCTTGTCCCCAAATTTCTACATGGTGCTGGAGAAGGACGCTGATTTATGTTAAGAGGGCCCATACAAATGCCTCTTCTTGACCTGACCTGAATCTACATTACCATTTGGTGATCAACTCAGTCCAATAAACATTCACTGGAACACTGTGGATTAAGCTCTCTTTGTGAGTATGGTGACACAGCTCCAAAGGTCTTATCTATTTTTACTTTTGTCTGCCTCTGCCACTTTCTGTACCACTTCCATACAGTCAGACCCCAAGGTTTAGGCTAAGGTTGATTTCATACACTTCCCTTGTATAAATCAGGCTTCTTAAGCAATAGTGCTGAAAGCATATCATCTCCATTAAATTTGAAGTTATGGTACACACACACAGATTGCAGTCTATCTGAAAGGTGATGAATTATACTCAGCTCTCCACTCCAATGCATGCAGTACTGGCGGGGGCGGCAATTGCCTCCACAGTCAACTCCCTTCCAACCTCTGTATTCCAATCGCCAGTAATTAGCCCATCACCTTTGCATCCCCATCACCTATCACAAAGTTGATCGTGAACTAACATTTGTTGAAATAGCAACAGCATGAAGAAGGCATCCCATCTTTCCTTGCTCCTGTCTTACTCCCCGCCTCCATGTTGCAAGGGTCAGAGCTGTGAGCATACACAGAGTGCCCAGCTCACACAGCTGAATTGATGGGGCTGAAGGGGTTTTCTGATTAGCTCTTTGAGTGACCTTGGGAAAAATAATTTTGTTTCAAAAGTGTCTATCATCAGTTTATGAGAGGCCCTTGTGGCACAATGACCATGA